CCCCAAAACCCCAAAACCCCAAAACCCCATCATACTGCTTTCTTTTTAATTGTGGGATTCGAATTATTCAATGTTATGAAATTAATATGTATGGATATCTGCTAATTTATAAATAGATTAGTCAGGGATTCAGTCATTCAAATTTTGAAAGTAATAGCTAGATTTTCAGTCTTTCTAAAATGATTCAAATTATTCTAATACATCATCAGCAAATAGCTCTTTTTCGAAATCAATAGTGCTTTGCTTCTTACCCATTAGCAGCAGACTGTAATACTTCCAATCATCTTTGAACTCATATTTATGCTCTTCCTTTTGCTATACCTGCTTATCAATATCTCCAATCATTTTCCGCCATTCTTTCTTTTGGTTCTCCTCTATTGGATCAACATACTCCTTTTGTTGTCTCTAGAACTTGCACATCTCTAGAAACATCATGTCTTTGGTAGTGTTAATTTGATTGAGGATCATCTTGTTGCTCTACTCAAAGTTCTTCATTTGCTTTTGCATCTTTCTGCCCTTAAACTTACAAAAGTCAGCTAGCTAGTTATGAATCTTGTTGCAATCCTTAAGAATCTAATCTACCTTGTTACGAGTCTCAGGAATAATGCTTTTCTTACTAGGGGAAGTGCCTCTACTAAGATTGTCTGATTCTAAGGTCTAGATTTATCTTGAGAGATTTCTACGTGCTCTGAGAGTCTTAGGCTTGTGGAAGGGTGAAACTACCTAATACTTGTGAAAGTCAAATTCTTTTTGAGTAAGTAGATATTTATCTCTCTATTTTTCATTGTGTCCTGGAGGCATATGCTTCTTGATGACTCTAATCAGTTCTTCATCGTCATCATCTATTTTTTAGCTGAACCTTTTAGACAAAATCTCTTTACGAGTCTGCTCTTCCATGGTTTGGACTCTACTCTGATTCTTTAACTGTATCTATTTGGTGCTCTCTCCCTCGACGAAATTCTGAATCCGTTGAAGTACATAATTCTTTTAGCCTAAGTTCATATCTTTTTTGTAAAGCTGCTGACTCACAAATTCTTGTATTTGATTTTAGGTTAGCTATTTATCAAGTTATTTTGAAGAAGCTGACTTATGAAAAGCACTTAGCGTATTTTGAGGTTGCAAGGGTGGTTATGCATTATTATTTTGAGGATAATTGGAAAGAATAGTCTAAGTGGGCTCAAAATTGAAATTGGATGTATCAGTTTTGATATTTTTAGGGGAGTCTTCTACTCTGATTTTACTATTGGCTCTACTATCAAAATACTTAGGAGTGTCAAGCTAAATTTCTACTTTTTTCCTGTCAGCATTGGCCTAGGGAGTCATCAAGCTAGGAAATACATTAATGGATTACGTTCTTCGACTCAGTTTAGGAAGTGCAGATCCAGGGTTGAAACTGGACACATTACTAGACTGTCCACCAACTAGTCTGAGTTCTCCAGCACCTTGTACTTTCTTTCCAAAGTTGATTGTTTACAGGAACTCCTTGTTTTGCTTGAGCAACTGCTTTTGCTTGGTCGATAGTTTTCTCTCGATATCCTTTTCAATGTACTTCTGAATCAGTTTCAAATCGAACTTAGTGGACTTTTCAAACTTGTCAGGGTATTTGCTCAAACGGATGGGAGTAAGTGGATTTGAGCCCAGTGAATAAGTCTGCGGCAATATAAATTCACTCTTGGTCTTGGAGTGTTATTGCTTTGAATTGACTGTATAATTTGCAGTCATGGGGAATGACTTCATTTAAATTAAAGAGATAATTAAATTACTACTTATGAACGCCAACAATAGATCTCTAATTTTATACAATTAATGTATATACTCTAAAATGGCTTAAAATAGTATTTGGGGGTTTTGGGGTTTTGGGGTTTTGGGG